AGAAGGCTAAAAGGATTCCCAAGGAAGGTCCAGAGTGGCCCCAGAGTCTCCCACAATGCTTCCAAAATGATCCGGAGATTCGTTCCAGTAGGCCCCCATGAGCGTATGGGGGATCTCGTGTCTACGTCCTGCAAGATCCATTTCAGGGCTTCCAGAGGCTCCACAGAAACACGCTGCAGGGCGCCAAGAAGTAGCCCAAACACCCCGAACTCACGGTCGAGGTCAGAGGCGTACCGCCATGGGCGGGAGGGCGGCATACGCACGTTGCCTTTCGGACTGTCGGTTGAGCTCACACTGAGACACGATCCGCGTGAGAAACCCAGTCGCCCTGAGGGGGCATGATGTTACGCGAATCCTCCCACAGAGAGGCGCGTCCAACCGCGTCCTTCTGACGCACAACAATCCGTGCGATGGGGCGCGTTGAGATGGGCGAAGGGACGCCGTCGTGGCCGTGGGGCTCCTTGCTTCCCTCGGGGTTTGCCGGGGGTCTCCTCTCGTCGTGATTGGAGGAGGAGGAGGAGGAGGAGGAGGAGGAGGAGGAGGAGGAGGGGGAGGGGGAGGGGGAGGGGGCGGGGGAGGAGGAGGAAGAGGAGGAGGAGGAGGAGGAGGATCAGGATCAGGATCAGGATCAGGATCAGGAGGACAAGGAGGATGAAGAGGTGTGACAGGAAAGTTACCACAGGGATACCTCGCTTGTTGTAGCCACGCGTTCGTAGCGACGCGGCTTCCTGATCCTTCGATATCGGCTCCTGCCGTCATTGAGACGCAGAAGCCCCAAAATGTGAGCTCCAAGACGGCCCAAGAGAGTCCCGAGGGGGCCACCGGAGGATCCCTGCATGGTCGAAGAAGGCCCCTAGAGGGCCCCAAGACAGGCTGAACTCCCCATGACGGGCCAAGAGGGACCAGGGACGGCCGAAACGGGCCCCCAAACGGGTCAAAATAGGAAGGCCCAGAGAGGTCCCAGAGACTCCCACAACGCTTCCCAAAGGCTCCTGGGAGGTCCCAGTAGGCCGCAATGAGCGTATGGGGGATCTCGTGTCCACGTCCTGCAAGATCCATTTCATGGCTTCCCGAGGCTCCACAGAAACATACTGCGGGGCGCCAGGAAGAGCCCAAACAGCCCGAACTCACGGTCGAGGTCAGAGGTGTACAACCATGGGCGGGAGGGCGGCATACGCACGTTGGTTTTCGGACTGCGCTGGAGCTTCCACTGGGACACGATCCGCGTGAGAAACTCAGTCGCCCTGGGGGGGCGTGATGCTGCGCGAATCCTCCCACAGACGGGCACGTGCAACCGCGTCCTTCTGGCGCACAATACGCGTGATGGGCGCGTTGAGATTGGCGGAGGGACACCGTTGTGGCCGTGGGGCTCCTTGCTTCCCTCGGGGTTTCCTGGGGGTCTCTTCTGTCCTCTCCTCGTCGTCGTCGTGCGAGGAGGAGGAGGAGGAGGAGGAGCACCAGAGGATCCCTACATGTTCGGAGAGGGCCCCCAGAGGGCCCCCAAACGGCTTCAGCCTCCCATGACGGGCCAAGAGGGACTCGGGACGGCCGAAAAGGACCCCCAGACGGTCCAACAAAGAGCCAAAATGATTCCCAAGGACGGCCCGGAGAGGTCCAAGAGACCCCCACAGTGCTTCCAGCATGCTCCCAGGAGGCGTCCAAGTAGGCCCCCAGAGGCGCATGGGAGGTCTCGCGCCTACGTCCTGCAAGATCTATCTCAGGGCTTTCAGAGGCCCCGCAGAAGCATGCTGCGGGGCGACGGGAAGCAACCAAGAGAGAAAGAGAGAGGGATATGGATATGGATATGGATATGGATATGGATATCTCTATATATATGTATGTATATATATATGTATATATATATGTATATATACACATACATATGTGTGTGCATGTGTATATGTATGTGTATATATATATATATATATATATATATATATATATGTGTGTATGTACACACACTCTTGGGCACGAGGCGGGGGAGCCCGGGACGGGGCCCTCGACAGCGCATGGCAGGACCAGGGGCCCCTGGGGCTCTGCAGGGGCGCCGGGGACTTTTTAAGATCGCCCGAAGACTGCCCCAGATCTCAAAAATGGCGTTTCCAGGCCGAGAAAAACGACCAACGACGGCCCGAGATTACCCAGAATTCGCCACTGATTGTCCAAGAGGCCTCTTAGACGCCCCAAAAGGCTTCCAAGATGCCTCCCAAAGAACCCCAGGTGGCAAACTTTGGTTTTTGAAAGGTGTTCGAGTTCTCGCCTTTTCAGTTTCCCGACGCTCCCAGACGGCCCAAGAGGCCCCAATGTCCGCTCCAAAACAGCCCCAGAGGCCTCGAAGACTGCCACACGGCGGTCCAAGAAGGCCCCAAGACGGCGCCCGAGAGTGCCCCAAGACGGCCCTAAGAGGGGGCCAAGAGGGGGAACACGAAGCGACAATCCGAGCCTTCCACCCCCAGAGGTTCTCGGGAAGCCCCAAGAGGCCCCCAGTAGGATCCAAGAGGCTCCCAAGAAGCTCCCAAGAGTGCCGAAGAGGTTCCAAGAGGCCTCACAAGAAGGTCCCAATAGGCACGCACAATTTGTTTGTCCGATAGCTTTTAACAGTTAGAAGTTTTCAGCCTTTTGGCATCCCGACGCCCCAAGACGGCCCAAGAGGCCTCCAAAACAGCTCCAAGATAGCCGAAGAGGCTTCCAAGAGGGCCCTAGGCGGCCCACGAGGGCCGCAAGACGGTGTTTGAGGCGCCCAAGACGGCCCGAGAGGGCACCAACACGGCCCCAAGAGGCCCAAGAAGGGGAACACGAACCGAAAATCCGAGCCTTCCACCGTCAGAGGTTCTCGGGAAGCCCCAAGAGGCCCCAAATAGGATCCAAGAGGCCCCCAAGAAGTTCCCAAGAGTGCCGACAAGGTTCCAAGAGATCTCCCAAGGTGGCCCCAAGAGGCACAACTCATTGTTTTACGATTGAGTTTTGACGGGCTCAAAATGTTTGAGCCTTTTGACATCCCGATGCTCCAAGACGGCCCAAGAGGATACCGCTCCAATGTAGAGGAAGAGGCCTCCAAGAGGGCCCCTAGACGGCCCACTAGGGCCCCAAGACGGTGCTTGAGGCGCCCAAGACGGCCCGAGAGGGTCCCAAGACAGCCCCAAGATAGGCCCAAGACGGGGAACGCGAACCCAACAGCAGAGCGTTCCCCCCAAAAGACCCACAGGAGGCCGCAAGAGGCCCCCAAGTGGTCCGACGAGGACCCCAAAAGCTTCCCGAGGGCCCAAAAGGCCCCTAGGAGACGTCCAAGAGGCCCGAAAATAGCCAAACAGTGCCCCCGATGCGTCAAAACTGCTTCCAGGAAGCCCCCGGGAGGCTTCCGGATTGCTTCAATGTGGCCCCAGGTGGCCTCAAGTCGGGCTTCTACGCAGCCAAGACGGCCAATGACGGCTTCACATAGCAGAACCGATGCCCCCAAGAGACCCTAAGACGCCCCCCCAAGAAGCACCCAAGAGGTGCCTCCAACAGCCAGTTGAAGAAGCATGCGGAACCCCCCAGAAGCTCCTCAGATGTTGTCACGCGCTTGTGCTTGATAGCGTTGTCCGAGATCGTCCAGCGCCACCCCGGCCTGGGCTAGAACCAGAGCGCGCGCGAAGCGCGCGCGATGGTTCTAGTGTACATGTGTGTAACTAAGTAATAAGTAAGGAAGTATGAACGTGTGTATGTACGTTTGTGTGTACGCATGCATGCATGCATGCATGTGTGTATGGATGTTTGTATGTATGCATGCGTGCATGCATGCATGTATGTATGAATGTATGTATGTATGCATGCATGCATGTATGCATGTATGCATGTATGCATGTGTGCATGTATGCATGTATGCATGTATGACTCTATGCCTGTTTGTATGTATGTATGTGTGTATGTATGTACGTGTGTATGTATGTGTGTATGTATGTATGCACGCATGCATGCATGTATGTATGTGTATGTATGTATGTATGTGTGCATGCATGTATGTATGTATATATGCATGCATGCATGCATGTATGTATGTATGCATGTATGAGTGTATGCATGTATGCATGTATGCATGTATGCGTGTATGTATGTATGTATGTATGTATGTATGCATGCATGCATGTATGTATGTATGTATGTATGTATGCATGCATGCATGCATGCATGCATGTATGTATGTATGTATGTATGTATGTATGTATATGTGTGTATACGTGTAGGTGTGTATGTGTGTATGTATGCATGTGTGCATGTATGTGTGCATGCATGTGTTTATGTATGCATGCATGCATGTATGAATGTATGATTTAGGTAGGTACTCATACATGAATACATTCATGCATGCATGCACGCATGAATAATCCGATGTATACATACACATCTATAGATATCGTAGGTAAAGGTGGATGGAGAGAGAGAGAGAGCGAGGGAACACCACATATGGACATGTATATCCATGTATATTGAGAGAAGGCGAGGTAAGCACCAGAGAGAAAGAGAGAGCGAGAGAGAGAGAGAGACTGACAGACAGACAGACAGACAGACAGACAGACAGACAGACAGACAGACAGACAGAGACAGACAGACAGGCAGGCAGGCAGGCAGGCAGGCAAGCAGGCAGGAAGGCAGGCAAAGCCAGACAGACAGTCGGGCGGACGGGCAGTCGCAATGACGCTCAGACGCAATGACATGCAGACACACATTGACAGACAGGCAGACACGCACACACACACACACACACACACACACACACACACTTTTTCGTCAGCGGCGAGGCGGCGAAATCCGCTCCAGCGTGAAGCTAGATAGGGGCACCAGCTAGCGAATTGGCCGGCGAGCAAAGAGGGAGGGGGGACGGCCGAGAGGAAGGGACGCTCTAACACACAAGCACACACAAATATTGGCAACTGGCCAGACAGACGGCGCGAGGCAGCGGGAAGGCCCAGGGCGGCAGACGGACGGTGTCCCCCGGCGGGCGCGGGCGAGCGGGCGCCCAGGTCGCGCAGCAGCAACAGCTCCAGCAGCAGATGCAGCAGCTGCAGGCGGGGCTTGTCCTCAACTTCCGCCTCCTCCTCCTCCTCCTCCTCCTTCTCATCTTCCTCCTCTTCTTCCTCCTCCTCCTTGTCACAGCGTGGCGTCCCCCTTAAAGTCGCGCACCACTCCCTCAACGAATACAGCGTGCAAGCCACGCACCACGAACTCTCAGTCGGTCCCCAGCAGTCGGTCCCCAGCAGATCCAGCAGCAGCTGCGATGCTCCCTGCACAAGCCAGAGCGTGCGCACGGCCAAGACGCTAGAATACAGAGGAGGCCTGTGCCAAGAAACACCCTGCTTGCCTCCAGGTTGCCCCGGATTTCCTGGGCTTCAATGGTTTCGCGATGGAGGGCGCGACGTTCCCACGCCGAAACTCCATGGGCGTCCTGGGGTCTCAGGGTTGGGTTTCTTGTGGAAGGTTTCTTGTGGACTGGCCTCCACTGTAAGGAACAATTTGGACACGAAAGGGGCCCGATGTCCCTTAGGTCACTACGTGGTTGTTCCTCTAGCCCTCCTCGTGCACGCTGGCGCTTCTGGGGCCCAACAAAAGGTTTCCCTGTGGCGTTCTTTCCTCCTCCTCCTCCTCCTCCTCCTCCTCCTCCTCCTCTTCCTCCTCCTTCTCCTTTTCCTCTGCTTTCCTTCTTCCTCCCTTTCCTCCCCCATCCTCTCGAGGGTCTCCTGAAGGCGTCTTGATGGTGATTTGGGAGGCCCTCCTGGGGGGCCCGTCTGGGTGCCGCTGGGCCGTCTTAGCTCAGGCGCAATGGTTCCACCGAGCTCCTCCGCAGAGGCTCGATGGAACCCTCCTGGGCCGTTCGGGCGGGGCTCGGGGCCGTCTTGAAGTCCCCTTGGGCCCTGTCACTGGCGGCGAGCGCCCCGCAGCCCTCCCCCGCGCGCCCCTCCCCAGGCCGCCACGGGCCACTCGAGGCCTCCCCGCCCCAGGATCACCATGGCCCGTGTCGGCACTTGTCTGTAGCGGCGGCGAGAATACTAGGGGGTGTTTTCGAAAAACCTTGAGGGCCCTTTCTGGGCCGTTGTGGGGGTTGCTCGGGACTCGCTGAAGTTTTCCCGAGGCGATCTGAAACCAACGAGCCTCAGACGCAAAAGACATGCGTTCTCGCATGCGTGCTCACGACGATTCGTCTCTAAGGGTCTTGCTGCAGGTCTCTTTGGCCGTCTCTTGGGGGCTTCTGGGGGCCTACTGGGTTGTCTTGGGGAGATTTGGGAGCCTTCTCGGGTATCCTTGGGCCGTCTTTGGACGGTCCAGAGGTGTCTTGCAGCTGCTTTCAGGCGTTGTTCGGGGCTGCCTTGGAACCGTCTAAGAGGCGGACAAGAGCGCGAGGAAGCGAACACCGGGGGGAGGGCGGGGGGGGGATTTTCTGAGGATGCACGGGGCGAGGAGCAGGCCCACATCCAACGAGCACTCCAACACGCCCAGAGATGCTGACGGCATGGTGATGGAGTGCCCCGGGTGATGTCGGGACATCATTTGCGGACGGATTGCTCGAAGGTTGGAAATCCACAGTTGAGAAGCCACGCTTCACGTTCGTGCTGTGTGCTGTGCCTGGCGTGGCCCTGTCCGGAAGTTGAGCGCGCGTTGCCTTGGACTTGAGGTTGCCGCCAAGGGGGGGTCCTCGGGTGAATGATTCAGTCGTGGGCAGTGTTGCAGGAGGTCGTGGTCTCGTTGTTTTTGCCAGCAGTTACTTGGTTGGGATCGCAGGGTCACGGATTACCGAAGCACTGTCAGTGTTATGGTGCACTTGTGGGTTTCAGATTGCCAGGGTATGGAATAACGCGTTAGCTGTGTTGCGATACGCGAAGCACGATTTCGGTTTGTCCAACAAGTGTGACATGAATGGAACCGGGCATGCGAATCACATGTGGTGCAAGCGTCAGTCACAAACAACATTCAAGCCGGGGGACGTTTGTAATTTGTTAAAGCATGCATAAGGTAGAGGCACGATCTCGATGCAAGCACGGAGCATTTCTGCCGTGCTGTTTTCCCGAACATCACATTCATCAAAAGTTCGATAATATGTATTGGTGTTGCACCGAGAGGCCCAGCCATGAATCCTGAGCGGTGGCTCACTGCCCTCAGCTGTGACATTTAGAGCGGGTGCGAACGAAGTTTGAGTATCGACGCATCGCAGACATGTGAAGCGAACGCGACCGTCGCAGCAAACCACATGATCTGAAATTCTTTACGCTTCGCGTATCCCCACCAGCCCATCTCACAACAGCAACTCTTGCGAAGCATGCCCACAGTCGTGTTTTGCAGGCGTGTGTCCGCTTGGCCCGCATATCTCCCCTGTTACTCCTTCCTCCCGCCTCCTTGTACATCCTCCTTGTTGGGGGAGCGGGAGAAGGACGAGGCGGAGGAGGAGGGAGAGAAAGCGTTCCTCGTGGTTTGAAAGAAACTGGTGTGAGAAGAGGTCTCGTGGTGGAGTGTTCGTCCGTCGTCCTGGTGTGAGTCGTTCGGGTTCCTGGTGTGAGTCGTTCGGGCTCTTCGTGGTGTGACTGTGAGTCGTTCGGGCTTCTCGTGGTGTGAGTTGTTCGGGCCCTCGTCCTGGTGTGAGTCGTTCGGGCCCCTCCTCCTGGTGTGACTCGTTCGGGCTCCTCGTGGTGTGAGTCGTTCGGGCCCTCGTCGTGGTGTGAGTCGTTCGGGTTCCTCGTGGTGTGAGTCGTTCGGGCGCCTCGTCCTGGTGTGAGTCGTTCGGGCCCCTCCTGGTGGTGTGAGTCGTTCGGGCTCTTCGTGGTGTGAGTCGTTCGGGCCCCTCGTCCTGGTGTGAGTCGTTCGGGCTCCTCGTGGGGCCTCTTGGGGGCCTCTTGGAGCCTTTTGGTGCCTCTAGGGGGCCTCTTGGGGGCCTCTTGGGGGCCTCTTGGGGGCCTCGTGGGGCCTCTGGGGGCCTCTTGGGGGCCTCTTGGGGGCCTCTTGGGGGCCTCTTGGGGCCTCTTGGGGGCCTCTTGGGGGCCTCTTGGAGGCCTCTTGGGAGGCTCCTGGGGGCCTCTTGGGGCCATCTTGGGGCCTCTGGCGACCTCCTCTGAAGCGCAAAGGAGCGCTGCCCCCTGAGAAGGACAACATGAGCCCAAAACCTTCGTAAAATCAATGATTTTGCCATGAAGGAAAATGAGCGCGGCCCCCTCAGGAGGCCAAAATGGTGCCAAAACCGTAGCAAAATCAATGATGCTGGCTTCAAAGAAAAGGAGAGGGGCCTATCTCCGCCCCCCCCCGTCGGGGCCAGAATCCTCGTGAGGGTAGTCGTTTTTTAGCCCTCCCAGGAGTCGGAAAAGACCCCTCCAACGACCCGCGAAACCCCCTCTCCAGGCCCAGGGGGAGGGGGTAGGGGGAGGGGTAAACCCCTCCCCGAAGGGGAAGAACGGGGGTTGAGGACAGAGCGGGCTCTCTAAACCACTCACGCCCAAAGGGCTGGTGGGATTCGGGGCAAGTGTGGAGCACCTCGGGCCCACATCTCGGTTTCGCCTGCTTGTGTGTTCTCGCGTTGTCCCAGCGGTGGGCCCATCAGATCCGAATAGAAGACTTAAGGCATCACCGATACAGCGGCACTATAGTGTAACACCTCATATGTGATGGCATGCGAAACACATACGGTGCAGCCGTTGAGGGGGTGTGCAATCTAGCAGTACCATGTTGGCGTCCAGGCTTGATGATATCATTGCACCTTTGATGAACCTCACAGTGCTATTCCAGGTAATGCCCCATCAGCTGGAAGTCAAACGAATCGGGTTGTTGGCTCCATTAGCGGTAAATGCTGCATGCAGGACAGAGAGGCGACCGTTGTTGAAGTGTGGTGACCGATTTCGTGTCAGGGTGTACGTGCCCCCTTATGTCGGAGGCCTAGAGGTTGACACCAGCACCAATATCGGCGGTGTGCCTCCACCGAGGGAAGAGTGCCCCGATCTCGGTGATGGTGGTAATATTATGGCTCCCTAGGCGGCCGAAAGATTATTACCAACACCGCGGTCTAGGATCGCCTTCCCCGGTGGAGGCAACTCCCTGTGTTGGTGTTGGTGCCCATGTCCAGGCTTCTGATTATGTGCATGCGTCTTGCCCATACGCAGTATGTTTGCATGCCACCGTCACGTTGACACGCAGGGGGCAATTTAAGTGTCCTTTTCAGGAGCGGCACCAGCTGCAGCAGCAGCAGCTCATGCAGCAGTTGCAGCACAATCCGCTGTTACTCCAGCAGCATCCTCAGCTTCTCCAGCAGCAGCAGCAGCAGCTGCGGGACATGTTTTCGAAGTCATTTTGCCCTCCTCCCCATGCCCCAAACCCATACCCCATCTTCCTGTCTGAACTCCTCCGCCCATAATCCCGCTCATGCCTATAATGCTCCTCGTCCTCCTCCTGCCATCCTCTCTACGCCTAGTCCTCCCTCCCTCTCCTCCTCCGCCGAGCTGGTGCTCTCGCCCTCGGCCGCTCCTCTGACCCCCAGTTCGAGGGGGCTTGGAGAAGGACGCAGCGGAGGGACGGGAGAGGAATGAGGGAGGGGCAGGAGGCAGGAGGGGGAGGAGAATGAGATGGGAGGATTGGCGATCAGGTGTTGTGTGTACATTGTTTGGGGAGTTGTGTAGGTTCGGATGAGGATGAGGATCCATGAGGATGAGGATGAGGATGAGGATGAGGATGAGGATGAGGATGAGGATGAGGATGAGGATGAGGATGAGGATGAGGATGAGGATGATGAGGATGATGAGGATGAGGATGATGATGATGATGGATGATGATGATGATGATGATGATGATGATGATGATGATGATGATGATGATGATGATGATGATGATGATGATGATGATTACGATGACGATGACGATGACGATGACGATGACGATGACGATGACGATGACGATGACGATGACGATGACGATGACGATGAGGACGAGGAGGAGGAGGAGGAGGAGGAGGAGGGGGTCAGTGCAAGATTGTAGAATGTGAGTGTTTCATGTTTGCCTGTCTGCTTGCACTGCATCCTCCTCCTGACCCCTGTTTCTCCTCCCCTACCTTCCTTCGTCCTTCTCGTGCTCGTCCTCCCCCTTCTCATCGTCCTGCCTCATTCTGCCTCCTGCCCCCTGTAGGACGAGGGGGGGAGGAGGACGAAAAAGACAGCAGAGAAGGGGACTGAAGTGAAGGATTATGGAATATACGTTACTTCTGACATTCAGAAGATGGCGGCGATGAGGATGACGGCGGTAGTAATGACGGTGACGATGGTTATGGCGATAGTGATAATGGTGATGCACATGATGTAGAGAATGAATATTGCGAGTAGTGCATGACGACGATGATGGGCATTTGGGAAACAAAGACACCGCACGTCCAGCAACAGCAGCTCACGGAGGAGCAGCAGCTGGTGCAGCAGTGGCGCGCTCAGCAGGCGCAGAGTCAGGCAGCCCAACAGGCGGCGCTCAACCCAGGGAGGAGCTGGGATGGGCGGAAGCGTGGAAGATCGGAGGGGCTCGGGCGGGAGCCCTGACCCATTGCGCGTGGTTCCGGCATCTTGGGAAGAATATGCGGAAGCGCGGGTTGGCCGTTCATAGTGTTGGTTCTCAGCCGCCTTAAAGGTTTTCCTCCCTCCTCCTCCTCACCCCGTTTCCTTCTAGACAGTTCCTCCCTGCCGCACCACCAGACGTGTCGGCGGGGCGCGCCATGCGTTTCGCCAGAGCGATCCCCATCACGCATGATCTTGGTTTCGAATCTCGAACAGCTACAAGGATGGATGGCGGTACCTTTTCAAAGTAGTGTCATTGTCTGATTGCTGCGCACAGTAGTCTGTCCAGGTTTGACAGTCGCCGCTTTGAGCTCAACATGTCTCCAATAGGGCTCCAGAGGATCCCAAAAGGGCCCAACAGGCCCACAGGATCCTCCACAAAGCACACGACATCCTCAAGATGCCAACGTGGCCTCCAAGTCGGCCCCACGACGTCAGAAGACCAACGCAGGATAGCCTTCAGGCTTCCCCAGACGGACCCCAGAACCTCCAAGGGATCTCAACTGTCCATGGGAGGACGCCCAGACGCCCCAGGACGCCCCAAATTGGCGCCCATATCAATCTTGGTCCAGGAGGTTATGACTCCTGGCAGGAAGGTTCAAGGCGTCTCGTTGGCACCACAGCCACTGCACTCGACTGATGTCTGAGCATGGCAGCGTGGGCTTCTCGGATGTTAGGGCCACTTCGCACGTTCCTCGGGTGCCTCGGCCCCACTTCGTCGGAAAGGCGTGCACAGCATTTTGAGCTTCTTGGCGCGATTTAATGTACTTCTATGGCCCTGCCGTGCGTATGACACTTACACGCAGGTCGCTGAAAGTAGGTATTTTGGGATTCCCACATCCCAATCTACGTCAAGCGACCTCCTACTTCAAGAATCGACACGCTTTTGCTGTGCTGTGTTATTATTTGGGGGCCTGGACCCAATACACTTAATCCGCCTTCATACTTCATGTTCTTACCTACTTCTTCCGACCGACGTGTACCACCAGCCTGGGCCTCGGAGGCGGGCTCCAACAGTTCAGCGGTCTGTTCCCGAAGCAGTTGGGTAAAGAGGAGACGACGACTATTCGGAATGTTATCCTCGTCCTATTCGTGGCACCGCTGTGCTTGGTGGCGCTCGCCAGGTGTGCTGCCGTGCCGTGGTGTACGACGTGTGCTTGGACTTTCTTAGTATCCCAAGTCTGGTGCACCTTCGTACGGGTTGTCACGGATTGGGCGTGCCTCACGGAGTTGTGAATATTGCAATCATGTACGTTTCGCGTGCCCACGCCAGTTGTTCCAGCAACGATTATGAGGAAATTGTTTTGACGAGGAAAATTCTCCCTCACCCATTTCTAATTCTATAGTATCGAAGACCCCTATTGCGAATCACCGCCGCCCTCTGCTTTTTAGGGTATGCTTGTGTGGCCGAACGCTTGGGCAAAGCTATTGGTCCATGCGTTGCCGCGTTGGAAGCCCTTCGGGGAACACGTGGGGGGAGGAAGGGGAGGAGGATGAGAGGGAGGAAAAGGGAGGATGAGGAGAAGGATGAGGAAACCTCTTGGGAGCTTCTTGGGCCATTCTTGGAGCCTCCTGGGAGCTTCCTGGGAGTCTCTTGGAGGTCTCTAGTTGGGCTCCTTGGGCTTCTTAGGGGCTCTGGGGGCTTCTTGGGGACCTCTTTGGCTGCCTCACGGCGTTCCTGGCCCGTCTGACGCCATCGGAAGCCGTCTTGGGCCGTCTTCTGGAGCCCCCTTGAGTGCTTCAGGGTCGTCTTGGAGGCCCTCTTGAGCGTCTTGGAGGCACCTTGGGTCATCATGCGGCCCTTCGGGGGGCATCTTGGGACTCTCTTGGGCCGTCCTGGGGTCATAGTGGAGGCCTCGTTGGCGATCTTCGGATAATATTTCGGGCCTCTTGGGCCGTCGGAAGGCCGTTTTGATACAACTGACAAAATTCATCTGAGACCCTAGGGGAACTCAACGTTGTTGGCCTCTTTCGGCGTTCTGGAGGACATCTTGGAAGCCTCTTTGGCCGTCTTAGGGGCCTCTTGAGCACTTTTTGGGCCGTATGAGGCTCTCTTGGACCAGATTGGCGGTCTTGGAGGTATCTTGACACAGTCTTGGAGGCCATATTGGAGCTATCTTGGGCTCTCTTGGGGCCGTCTTGGCCGCCTTGGACACCATTTTGGCTGTCCTGGAAGTCTCTTCGGCCCGTCTTGGAGGCCTTTGGAGCTGTCATGGGCCATCTTGGAGGCCTCTTGGGCGTTGTTGGGGCGATCTCGGGGGCTTCATGTACCGTCTGGGGCCGTCGGAGTACAGAAACATAGCAAATGCGTCAATCATCTGCAATCTTTCCAAGCTGTCCTAGAGGTCTTCTTGGAGGCCTCTTGGGCACTCCTGGGGCAGTCTTGGACCATCACGGGGCCATCTTGGGCCGTCTTGGGTCTATCTTGGACTATCTTGGGCTCTCTTGAGGCCGTCTTGAAGACGGCTTCAGGCTGGCGTGGAGGCCATCTTGGCCGTCGTGGAGGCATCTTGGAGGCACCTTGAGCCATGTTGGCCGCCTTGGAGGCGATTTGGGCAGCGGGGGACCTTTTAGGGGCGGCCTTTCGGGTGGCCGGCGAATTGGGCCGAAGCCCCCACAGGGAGTCCGCCGCCACTTGTGGCCTTGCCGCAGGGGGGCCACGGCGTGCTCAACGTCGGGAACTCGAGGACGAAAAGGCCTTACACGCTGGTCGTTGAAAGTGGGTCTTTTTGGATCCCCTAATTCCAGTCTTCTTTGGGCGCCTTCCTCCTTCAAGGATCGACTGGCTTCCTTCTTCCCTTGTCTTCAGGGGGCGGGTGGAAGCCCAATCTACTTCTAGCGCCTTCCTACTTCATGTGTCCACCCACTTCTTCCGACTGGCGTGTACTTCCTCCTCCTCCGCCTCTTCCTCCTCTTTTCGTCGCCGTCGCTATTGGCATCTGGTCTCCGAAGGTCGCGGCCGTCGGAGCGCTCCAGATAGAGGGCCCGAGATTCTGAAAGTGGGCTGCTGGCGCCCGCCATGATATCTCGGGGGCCCTCCCCCTCCCCTTGGCAACCACGCTGATCGCCACCACTGTCAGCTTGGCGCCGAGCTGTCCATCCGCTGACTGCACGGCGCCCGGGTGCAGCTTGCAGCCCTCACGTCTCACCGCGGCAGGTCAGATTCTGACTCCTCTTTGTTTTTCCGCCCCAGTCTCCCGCCCTGGGCCACTCCGAGCCCCTCACCCAGAGGTCTCGACACCTTCCCAGAGACTATAGCCATGGCTGCCCACGGTCCGATCCGATCTCGATCCGATCCGACCCGGCACGAAACGATTCCCCCTCCGGCGTGCAGCAGGGCTGGACCTAAACGGTGTTTTGGCCATCTCGTAGGCCGTGTTGGTTTTCGTGCTGCTTTGCATTACAGGCGAAGCGAGAGCAAAACGAGGACGGGCGAAACACAACACGAAAACGAACAACACCGTTTAGGTCCCCCCTCGAAAGCGAAAACGAGAACGAGAAGCAACACGAAAACGAGCGCGAAGAACACCGTTTTGGTTCAGCCCTGGCCTGCAGGGGCCGAGGCCGCTCTGCAGAATCCCAGACGGGCAGGTCCCGATATCCGGTTCTGCGACGAGTCCCACTGAGCGCTGTCCACTGCTCGCAAAGTGCCTACTCGCAATCGCCCGAAAAGCACACGTTCGCGTCGACATGAAAGATCGTGGCTCCCCCGCAGCGGATCCAGGCCGTTTGCGAGTAGTCATTTTGCGAGTAGTGGAGCGCGCCCGTCTAGAGTCGGAGGCGCGGTCCTATCCGTGTCCGATCCCACCACATTTCGCACTGTGGCCTTTCATTCTACAGCTCATGTCGGGCATGTCCCTCTACAGGAGCAACACTTGGAGATAGTCAAAAAGATAGTTGGGGACCATGTTTCCTCTTCTTGAACATTCGTGGACTGTGTTTTGCATTTTTCGTCCAAAATCCGCCCGTGGGAGGACATGCCCGACCTACTTCTACGGGGCCGTCTTGCCGGACGGCCCCGGGGCCGGGCAGCGGCCTCCCATGGCCGAGGGCGTCGGACAAGCCGGCCGGCTCGATCCTCGCTGCGGCGCCCTGGTTCGAGTGTGAATCCGCGTCTGCGGCTGGGGATCCCGAACCGGACGGTTTTTCAGCCTGAGTCGTCTGTGCGGGGGTAAAAAAAAAACGCACAGACGACTCAGGATGGTTTCTTGTTTTCCACCCCCGCCCCCGGGTTTTTTTTCACATCCGGGTTTTTTCACACCCGGGTTTTTTCACCCCGTCCCTGGCCGCGGTGAGGGCTCTTGGAGGCCGAAGACAATGAAACTATTGTCAGTTTGGGGGTGTCGAAGGACACTTGTAGGTGTTGGGTCATGGACGAGGGGGCATTCTGCATGTTGCGTATGATGTGATGGACAGTTTGGGGTAGGTCGGGTTTGGGTGCTTTGCAGAGTTTGTGAGTGTACCGAAAGCGATGTTCAAGATGTTGGATGAATGCGTCCACCTCGCGTCCGCGTCCCCTCTCCAGGCCCCCTCCCCCCCAAAAAGGCTGGGCAGGCGTTCGCCGTTGGCGAGGGCACTCCGGGGCAGGCTGCCGCTTCAGATCCAGGAGGGGTCTTTTGCTTTCGGGCTGATCCTCAGGTCCAGCTCAGGGGACCTCTTCGTGCCCAAGTTGCCTGAAGCGCCCCTTCGTTCCTTGTCCAGCGTTTCTCGTGGTACCACGATGGCTGGTGCTCGGGGGTCAAAGATGGGGCCCTGAGGATAGGAAATGCCTTCCCGGTTTGAGTTGCACTGCTCACGGCCTCCTCGCCCTTGGGCCTCATATCTCAAGCCCCCATGTTTGAAGAGCCGTCGGGTAGCCCACGAGGGGTCGGGGCACGCGTCGCTCCTCATCATCCCCGTCCTTCTCCTCCTACTTCTGGTCTGCTTCCTTCGCCTCCACCTCTCGCGTGGATGTCCATTGCAGCCGACGGTGTGATAGTTTTCGGCCCACGGGCCCCAGAGGTCTTGACGACCCCTTCCCGCACGTCCAGATCTGGTCTTCATAGTCCAGAGGCGCGAAAACGCCTCCCTGGGCGAAATGGAGGAAAAATGCTGGCGGCGCGCACAGGGGGGGTGAGGGGAGAGGGGAAGGCTTCTTAGAAGGAGGCTGCTTCTTAGAAGGCGCCGGCCTTACATGTCTAGACCAGGCCCGCGCCTTCTAAGAAGCAGGGGTGCTTCTAAGAGGCCTTCCCCCCGACCCCCTCTGCGCGCCGCCAAAAATGTTTGGAACGGCAAAATCAATCCTTCGTCTTCCGCTTCCTTCGCCTCATCCTCCCCCGTAGAGGTTGCCGGAGGAAACGAAGGACCCAGAGGAGGGAAGGAGGGAGAGGAGTGGGAGGAGGAGATGGAGGCAGGGGAGAGCGATCAGGCGATCACAAACTTGGATCAAGCCGGCGTGGATTAGCGACAGGTCCAGTTTCCATGGGAGATCGTGGATTCCCGCCGCCGAACGAGGCAGCACCGGCCGCATTTTGGGGAGGGCACTTCCCCCGATGATTTGGCGACCGCGCGCCAGGTCCATGGACCGCTAATACATGTCTGCGCGCCCCCGAAAGGAGGACGGGGAGCAGGAGGACAAGGCGGGGGGAGGATGGACGTGGAGGGGGAGGACTTGCGAGGAGGGGGGGGATGGACGACGAAGAAGAGCGGAGGAGGCCTGGAGGAGGAGCCGACCCGCCCGGCACGGCACAGCACCGCGCCCTGGAGGCCCCGCAGGGCTCCCTCAGCTCCCTGCTGGGCGGCGGGGCGGCGGGCCAGCAGGCGCAAGCACAGGCGGCGCAGAGCCAGGCGACGCATGGCCAGGCGGCGCGGGGGGGGGCCTTCCTCGTCTTCTTCCTCCTCTCCTTCCTCCCTCCTTCCATTCCTTCTCCTCTTCCCCTTCTCCCTCTTCTTCCTCCTCCTCCTCTTCCCCCTCTTCTTCCTCCTCTCCTTCCTCCTCTCCGTCCTCCTCTTCTTCCTCCTCTCCTTCTTCCTCTTCTTCCTCCCTCCTTTCATTCCTTCTCCTCTCCCCTCGGAGGGCCGCAAGAGGGCGGCGGGGGAGTGCCGCTAGCGCGCAGGACGGCGCGGCGGGGGGACGGCAGGAGGGCGCCGACGTCCTGCATCGGCCAAAGACCCCGCCTCCTCCGGTTGGGATCACATACCTTTGCGTCCTCCTTGGGGGTTCGTGGGGGGGGGGGGGGGACGTGCTGTCAGAGCGGGTGGCGGGGGGTCGGAGGAAGAGGAGGGATGGGAGAAGGAGGGGAGATTCGGATCTCGTTGCGCCGTGTTGTGTCGCACCTGCTAGCAGTCTTGGTGTGGTGGCCGCCGTTCCCAAGTAGCTTTTTGTTCGCACCGGCTCTCTTTTTTCTCAGCCGAACGCCTCAGCCCAGCCGCTGATGTTTGCCAAGCGTGAAGAGGAGGAGGGGCGGGACGAGGGAGGGAGGGGGGGGGATCGGCAAGCTGCGTCGGAAGGCCAATCCAATCCCCCCCCTTCTTTTAAAGTCGGGCGTGTCCCTCTACAGAAGGAATATCCAAAAATAGAAAGAATAGTCTGGGGACGATTGTGTTCACTACTTTCGATTATGTTTGGAGTATATTTTGATCATTTTTTATTTGTCGTCCAAAATCCGCCTGTAGGGGACACGCCCGACCTAAACCTTTTTGATACAATCCCAATCCAGGGCTCTGACCCCGGGAGTTGGCGCCGCTGACAGGGGTATAGCATCATGACAAACAACCCGACCTTGGCGCTGGACCCCATCTCTCTGCGGCGCTTGCTCGTGCGGGATCGATCAGGATCCCGGGGCCCGAAGCTGTGCGAAATCGTTCGGCTTGAAAGGGCAGCGCCCAGATCCCAGGGAAGGTGCCCGTCAGAGTGGCGCTGATCGACACGATTTCGTTCCCCCATCTCGCCCAGCCACGCCCCGCGGGGCTCCCTCTGACGCAGCTGCGCCCGGCGATGTGCCACGACGAAAGATGAGCGACGAAAAGAAGCGGGTTCGTCCGCGCCGACATTGGCGCGTAAGTTGCCCGCGTAAGATGCCCGCGTATTGTCCTGCATTGTCTTGCATTGTTTTGCATTGTCCTGCATTGTCTTGCATTGTCTTGCATTGTCTTGCATTGTCTTGCATTGTCTCGCATTTTCTCGCATTTTCTCGCATTGTCTTCATTGTCTTGCATTGTCTTGCATTGTCTCGCATCGCCTTGCATTGCCTTGCATTGTCTCGCATTGCCCCGCATTGCCTTGCATTGCCTTGCATTCCTTCGCATTGTCTTGCATTGTTTTGCATTGTTTTGCCTTGTCTTGCCTTGTCTTGTCTTGTATTGTCTTGCATTGCCTTGCAGTGTCTTGCCTTGTCTTGCATTGCCTTGCATTGCCTTGCAGTGTCTTGCATTGTGTTGCATTGTCTCGCATCGTCTCGCATTGTCTCGCATTCTCTCGCATTGTCTTGCATTGTCTCGCATTGTCTTGCACTGTCTTGCATTGTCTTGCATTGTCTTGCATTGTCTTCTCGGCATCAGTGCCACAGCGTCGACGGGAGGCAAAACATATGCATATAGTCTTGTTTTTGCTCGGACTCGCTGAGCAAGCAAGTATACAGCCAAGGTAGCAGAGTCTTGGCCGAGCATAGAATCACCGTCGTCAGAGCGTGTGTGTTGCCCATTCCCTGTTCACGGTAATATGCTTTACACAACGCCATGTCGGGTGATGACGCTTCCGCCATGTTGCCCGGTGAACTCCCAGAGGGGAGGATTGCAGGTGGACGCAAACAGCTGCTGCAGCCAGCGTCCAGCCTGATCGCAGCATCGGCAGAGGGAACTCGTGGAGCCCGGAGCCAGTCCCGTTCCCCGAGTGGCGGCTTTCCGGCGGTCGCTGACGCTTCGGGGGCCCGCGCCGCCAGCTCCGATTCCGCAGCCGTGAAGAAGCTTGTGGAGGACGAGTTGAAAGGGCTCCTGCCAAGCGAGTTACTTATCGGGCGCAGAGAACCATACACATGCACCGATCCTGGCAAGGCCCATCCTTGACCCAGGATCGGTGCATATGCCTTCCTGGCCAAGGTAGGAGGGCGTATGCACCGATCCTGGACTCCGCATGGGCCTGGCCAGAATCGGTGCATGTGCACAGTTCTTTTCCCTCCTTAGATTAAAGAGAACTCAGAAATCCACGACTGATTTGAGCGCGAGAAGCGCTAGCCTCCAGAGGGTGAACGAGGGGCGGCCAGCACCAGGAGTGATGCGGAAGCTCCGACTGGTGGCCGGGGGTCCCTTTCTGGGTGTCGGCTCTCCACTCTGGCCTACGCTTGTGATGCTCCAACCTATTTGTAGCCTTGATCACCAGAAAGAATTCCGAGCGCCAGAAAAAGTTCAGAAACTCAAGGGTTTTCACGTGTCGGGCCCTGGGAGACACTCGCCCGACACTGTTTCGACACTGGTTCGACACTCTTTTGACACTTTTCCGGGTGCTCGAAATTATTTCTGGGATGTGATCTTTAAGTAGGATGAGAGCAACATAAGCCTACGAGTCGCATTTCCTGGACAAAGAGCGCGTCGTCGACTTTAGTGTCCGCCTTGACCTCTCTGGCAGGCGCTGCGGGAGGCGAAGCAAGATGCCTACTGCGCGCACCTGGCCATTCAGAAGAAATTCGACATGCTGCTCTTGGCCGAGCAGAGGGACGACCTGCGGAGGCCCACGCAGCGGGACTATTTCGTCAAGACTTGTGCTGCCACCCTGTCAGACCAGACTTCCAGAGTTTGAGACCTGGATTTTTTGATCTGGATTTGGACAATGACGACGGCTTCCAGGCCTCCATTGCCAGCGTCGACGGCGAGCGGCTGAAGGCCAAAACCACCACCATGTACGCCAAGGCGGTCGCTCGAGCTTCCGACAAGAAATCTCGCAAGCAGCAGGAGAAGGTCAAGCAGGACCAGGCTCAGGAGAAACTCATCCAGCAGATGATGGAGACGAGGCCTGCGGACCTCTTTCAACATGGCTGTGGACGCTCACGCGATCGCTCGCAAAGCGTGCCTGGCCGAGCAGGTCCAGCAGGAGGCGGCACCATAGCCGCCCAGGTTGCATCCCTGTACACCTCCACCGTGGCCGCTGGCGTCTGTCGACCGCGCCGATGCCGAACGCCCCGCTTCCAATGCAAAAAACGGCACATCCCCGCCCGGAAAGGCCGGGGACAAGGACAATGGCAGAGGCAGAAGCAGAGGCAAAGGACGAGGCGACCCCAGCAGAAAGAGGTCGACGACCAAGACGTATCCCAAGGGCGACGGGAAAGCCGCGCCCTCCCCCATGGGCGGCCCCAAGGGCAGTCCAAGGGCAAAGGCAAGGGCAGGGGCAAGGCATCCATCCGGCACGGCGAGCGCCGGGACGGGCGCTGGCGAACGAGGAAGCGCGAGGGTCTGGACGCAGCAGATCCGCCGGAGGCAGGTGGCGTGGGACGGGGGCGTGACGGTGAGGTTGGCCCGTTTGCTTTTGTAGTTTATTCGGGACCCCCCTGCCTCTGATTTTAACGCCTTGCTTGCATGTGATGGTAAACCTGCTTACTTGTTTCACCCGCGTTCGCATTCTGACATTGTCCCTTCAGGTGCCGAGATGGCATGGCCAGTTCGGTTTTTGCTCGTGATGTTCCATCGTATACACTTTTTTCGCATGACACCTAAATCGTCGTTATATCACGTTTCGGTTGCTCTTTGGAATTGGGAACACAATCTTCGTTGGAGATGTTTTTTTTCGGGTCTGGCGCCGTAAACCCAACAGCTGGCGACAAGTGGCGGCGGCTGCGATCCAAGAAAATGATGTTGCAGGCCGTGTGATGCTGTGTTGCCTTTGTCTCTGCAGTGCATGGTTGACGCTGTCAGGCGTGATGTTTGGCAGACATGCCTCGTGCAAAGCCGGCGTCGCGCTCCGCCGGTGCCCGCAGTGATTCGGATTGCCATCCCCCTCCTCCAAAAAACGGGCACCAGGGCGCTTCTCACAGACAAGATGTTTTTTTAGCACGATCGATACATGCATCTATTGTTTGGCCCCTTACAGAGATAAAGTCGCCCCATGCAGTTTTGGGGCGGGGGTGGTAGCTCATTTTATCGAAGCTGTTCGCGACACTTGCAGGGTTCTAGACGACAAGGCGCTCGAGCGAGACGCGAGCCGATGCGAAGACATCGCGTCGCTCGTTGGAGCCACCGTCAAGACGCACAAACCTCCCGGAACGGTGGAGTTACGCCTTCTCCACTGTAGCGTTCGTACTCCGATGGTTCCGGCAACGCGATGGATCTCCCACGCGCTGCTCCCTCATAGGCGCGTTCCGTTCCAGGCTCGCGACGCCCAGCACCTATTGCAGATCATGTCGCGCACAGTTGTGCCAGCCGATTGCCGCCTAGTCGAAATAGACACAAAATAATATTGTATGACCGGTTTCCATGCTGATTCCGTCACGCATTTCCCAGTTCTCTTTGACGGCGCCCAAAAAGATGCATGCGCCAAAGTTCTATCTGCGATTGTGGATTGCCAGTACGCGTCGTGCACTGCAGCGCCAGACAGGGTCTGGAAGGTCACCGTCGGCGCTGGCATGGGACTTCCTTGTAGCGGGGAGGGTGTTGACGCAGCGTATTACAATCAAGTTGAGCGCGACAGCGTGTCTTAAAATAGCTTCCGCGATTCGCACGGCGTTTTAGCTTATACCAGGTATCGCGACGACGTTATGCTAGTGCACTCGGGCTCCAGAGTACAGGTGGATGCCCTCATTGGCAAGCCACAGGAGCTGTCGACAGAGTTTAAGCTAGAAGCTGGGAGTATCGCGTCCGACAAGGTTCAGATGCTA